ACTACTTACATATTTAGACAGCTCCTTTATTCCACTGGGGAAGCGCGTACGATTCGCGGATAATCGACCACTTTCATCTCTTTCCTTTTCCATCCAACAATCGTCAATATGTACACGGTTATAGCCAGCAGCCAGAAAACCATCTTCTGCTGAAATGCTGGGATTATATCGCTGTCGTATGAGCTCTGTGGTAAGCCGCGTACGGTCGCGGTGCGACATTTTTTTATAGATCTGTGCATGGTTGTTCTGCACTGCTAATGTTGTGACAACAGACATGGCATAAGCTTTGTTTTCAGCTGGGCTTACAAAGTTGAAGGGATCGCGCTTCGAAATTTCACGTCGAATTAAGAGGAACCAGCCGGAAACAAGATGACGCCATTGTCTGCTCGTCTGCCCCCTACTGCCGTCAAAGAAGCTCAACAACGTTAGAAGCCGTAGACTAGTAGGAAATTAGAAGGGAAGTAGGAAATTAGAAGGAAAGTTAGTAGGGCCTGCTGTAAATTTGCTGTAATCTTTTTGCTGTAAATTGGTTTTCCAGATTTCTTAGCGTCAAGTAAACTACTAATTTGATTTATACATGGTACGCACTCACCCATTCGATCAGCCATATCCTTATAGAGTTTCTCATTGATGCAGTGGTCAGGATGTGCATCGCAGTCAATTTCGCAATAAAATGCTGTCCAGGACATCCATCCCATAGGCGGTGTCCTTCAAAGGTTTTTTTCATGTACAAAACACATTTTCATGGGAATTCTGGGGTTTTGGAATCTGAGAAACATACCTAGCCAATCCGTTATCTAGGGAAGAAGCAAGATGTAGCGAAAACAGGAGGACTATACGAGCTATTGAGATCATCCTGAAAGAGAAACAAAAAAAAACGTGCTAATGAGATGAGTGCTGGTGGGATCCTAGTTGTCATGAACTCCCTCCCCGTTCATGATGTTTTCCTGTGTCACGCCCGCGCCACTACGGACATATATAAAGGGTCGGAAGGCGGTGACACGGTCATTGAATGGTCGGTAGGTCAGTCGGTTGGTTTCTGTCGTTACTGCCGGGATCGTTGGTTGATCCCCAGCCTCAGCGCTGCCGAATGAAAGGCGGCGGTCGTCACTCCGGAGGCAGTGTCTCGTGGTCCACTTGTGGGCTCGTACCACTACAAGCCGTTGTTCGGGAGATCCCATGTAGACCAATATATGCGGACCCGCTCAGAAGTGACTAGGGTAGAAATAAGAAAATATGTCCAGTCTCAATTTCAAGGTCAAGCTGAAAAAAATAAGTTGATGTAAGTATACTAGGATTCTACGGGAAGCCGTCGTTCAGAGCATGCCTGCGCTTTTCGAAACGTTTATTGCACTTTGTAGGGCCTTCCCCATGAACGCATAAACTGGGACTTTTTTGGCTTGTGCGGCTCCAGAGAACGCGGACCAAAATAAGGGACGCGATAGGTAGTCTATGTACCCCCATATGAGGGACGTTAAGCGCTATACTGGCGCCAAATTGCGTCGACGTCGAAAATAAGTGTCAAAATCGTAATCAGGACCATCGATTACCCTTATGGACGAACTTCCAGCCAAAAATTTTTTTCGATTTTTTGGGTTTTGGTGACGTGCACATTTGTTAGCAGTGATGACCGGAGTATCCTATTTTCGTTGCAAGGTGATGTTGATGACGACTACGTAGCAGGCCGCCGCGGCAGGAGGTACCAAACCTGGTGCGAATGCCTCCTTTCCTTCCATTTGCATGATTATCGGCATTGCTGTTATTTTTATCTTCTGGATAATAATAAAATAGGCAGTCCTATGGCGAAGCACTGGTAGCCTTAATAGAAAGACGGTACAGCAGAACAGCGGCACCAGGGCGCCCATTGCGTTGTGATCATTTCCTGAAAAATACGACCCCCCCCTAATTCCATCTTCAAGTACGACCCCCTCCCCATGTTACCTCTTCCCTAGATTTTTCCAACCTCCTACCACTTTGTCTATTTTTTCCCAAAAAGTTTCTGGTTTTTTTTTACAAAATTTTGCTGTCGAGCGGGGGGGGGGTCGCAGTACCTACGTACGTCCCAAGCACGTCCAGCACTCTGGCGCTGGTGTAGCATACTGACAATACGTACGAGGAAGGGGCCATGATAGGAGCCTACGATCACCGCCCCATGAATTCATCACAAGGGCCCCATGAATTTATAAACAAACAAGAGGACTCACGACGTGACGATTAATAAACAGATGAAAGTACATTCCCGGACTTTTCTGATCGTAGGAGCACATTTGCTTGCAATTGGGAAAGCCCTATCTAGAAGTTACACCTTTCAAACACCTGCGTGAAAGCCCCCATGCATGCGCGCTTGCATATGCATGCCAATTGGCGCCCAATGGCCTATTACCTGATATGCTTGACGAAAACATGTGTTTCAGAAGCATACCAAAGTCTTCGAGCCAACTGGAGGTTTCCTGGCCTCGGAGGGGTTGATTTTTCGGTGTCGTGGGGGGTGATTACAAAATGATCACAACGGGGAATTTTTTCGAATAGTAGGTCTAGGAAGGAAATTAAAACCTTGCTGGAAAGTAGAAATCTTCAAGCTTCCGGCACAGTTCTTTTTTTTACGAAAGGTCGTGTATGAAGCTTGCCATGGACGTCCAAAGCGTAGCGACTCGCGGTTCGCAAAAATGATCACAGATGGATCATAAAGATGATCACAACGGGGAAAATCTGGAACCGCCGAACGTTTTTGAGAAATCGCTCATTCATGTGACAAGAGCCTACCTTAGCTCTAGTCTCAATTCCCACTTACCCCTCTCCGATAGCTTCACTTTCAACGAAGTTATGGGTGTTCAAATGAGGGGTACTTTTCACGTGTTTGGCTTGAAATTGGCTCCAAACCGTAAAATAGCGCGCACCAATGCGCTTGTATGAGCGCGCTGACCGCGAACAGCCAAAATTCAAAAGTAACCCATAGTTCGGTTCCCAGCTGAGCGGTGAGTTTTTTCTTATCCATTTTATTGTGAATTACTTTGGTTGTGTTTTTTGTTTGAGTTTAATTTTGTTTTGTTGAATTTGATTTTGTTATGTGGAAATTGCTCAGGATTCAATTTCTACGGTTTCATAGGTAGCTTTTGCAATGGATTCTTTTCTAGATTTTGCGGATTAGTGGATTGGGATTTATCTAGACCAGATGAGGAGGGTTGGTGGGCGAAGTGTCTTGAAGTTTTTTGTGAGGAAGGAGGAAAAGTTTCAGCGATATTTTTTTTAGTTTTTGGCCTAGGAATAGTTCGATAGTGCCTAGTTCTATTTATTGTCAATCTACATCGTCCCTTTTAAGCTTCTTTTTACTTGTACCGTGTATCACCGCTCTCTCCACTTCAACATGGGCCATGCGTTTACGACCCCCCCCCTCCATCGCGGGCAAATACGACCCCCTGTTGTGATGATCACAAAGATGGCGTGCCCTGGCAGGGCACGCCCAACAACGCACACACCCAAAAAAGTCGAAAAAAATTTTTTTGGCCGAAAGATTGTTTACAGGGGTAATCGATGGCCCCGATCATGATTTTCACACTTATTTTCGGCGCCGACGTAATTTGGCGCCTGGGTAGCGCTACACATCCCTTACTTGTGTGTAGCAAACGCATTCATTGGGAGAAATGTCACTCCATATTAGCGATAAATGGCACCGTAGCTACAAATAAGTTCCATATTCGTGATTCGGGCATGGTCTGACCTATAAAGGTCAACTTTCAATTACGGTCTTGCTTAATGGTATGTAAAACCTGTAATAATTGAATAGCACTGATTCATGGAGTGTTCTCAGTTCCATATTCTTTATAATGTGCCCATAAATGGCAGTTATCGAATGCGTACTTACGCACAGACATAGAACGCGAAAACAGCAAAAAATAGAAAAATAAACTCGCACACCGGGAGGAGTCGAACCATCAACCCCACCCCAACTGTCCGCTTGAGAATCCTCCACGCTATCCACTAGGCCATCCGATCGTTGCTGAACATTCCTCCGATCGTTGAAGAAACCATTCCATGAAGCCGTTCACAAGACAGAAACCACCGCATAACTTTACATCTGGGGAGTGATGCTCTCACAGCAACTAATGGGGAGGGGGGGAAATGATTTCCAATGTAAATGGGACACACCATTGTTGGAACTCTCCAGCGCAGGGAAGAGAGGTCCAGGGTTTTTTTGTGCAGTTCGGCTTGGTGGGAAAATTCTGCTGGTTCCCATCGAACATTGCCAAAGCCTCCTCTAAGACCGGTAGATTCCTATAAAGCTATACAGTAGCAGAAACCCTCGTTCCCACTTGACAAGGGTTCACTGTTCTCACCGAGGTTTGACGTGTACTTCAACTTCAATAACGAATAGCGGAAGAAACTAGCAAATGTGCAAAATGCCCATCCCAAGCCGGACAAGGTCAAATTTTTGATTGTTGAGTTTCCTGTTTCACGTTTCAGACGCGCTACAGTTCCCTGAAATTACAGTCCCACAACTTCAAGCTTCTCTTCTCGAAAATCTTCGTTGGAAAAGTGCCAAATGATGAGGAGTAAGAAAAAGGCGTGAACATGGTGCCGACGAAGTGCTGAAATCGCTATTGGCCTGCTAAAAATTGAAGTGCCTCAAAAAAGCGGTAGAGGGAGTTCAATAAGTGAATGTGCTCGAGTGAGGAGAACGCTTGGACAATAAGTTGCAATATCGACCAACTCACGTTGAGATGTTGTGATAGGTTAATGATCAGCCACACTGGTCAGAACGCAGTGTAACAAGGATCTTCCGGACCCGGCTCAAATATTTTCTGATAATCAGGGCGCAACAAGGCCCTAATTCGAAAAGGTATCGGGAATTGTATACTACCTTCTGTGTTTTGCACTTCTACAGCCATCCGGTGCTAACTGTGAGTTTTCTGGTCTATCTGCTTCAGAGCGCGTCCAGCCGTGAGAGGAAGCTTTGGAAAGCACCACCCCTTCTAGACGTTTTATCCTCTGATACGACCCCTACGACATCTGCATCCCTCCTATCAACTTCTCAAACCTTCCTAAAATTTTCCAACTCCCCCTACTTTCCCGAAGCTCCCAGCAGTTTCCGTACTTTGTACCACTCACTCCGATGTTTTTGTTTCTCCAAGAGTTCCTTCGCTTGGTTCCCAGAAGCTGCAGGTTGTCGAGGAGAGTGGGTTGGCGCATCTTTTCCCATGAATCCAGGAAGCGGAAAAAACCGGGTAACGGTAACACCGAGAAAAGTCAGCTACCTAAAACATCTTTCACGAGTACGATCTCTCCCTCCATCCAGCGACCAAATACGACCTAGCTTGCTGGGGATCCTCGGCATATGACTGCCCTGACCTGCTTATCGTTTTCAGGCTATTCTGGAGAGTATAGACGTTCTTTCGGCGCTGTTTGTCGACGGGGGGCATTTTGTATTATCATTGCTTCCCTAGTTCCGGTTTACAAATCTCACTCTGGTAAAACTTGTGAACTCTTGTGAAGCTGAAGTAAGATCGTCTAGCCACTATCCTAAAACGTGTCAACTCGAGAAAGGTTGCCTAGATGGGTCGACACATCTATGGAAAGCAGAAATGCCTTACCCCCCCACCCCTCGACAAACAGCGCCCGTTCTTTCAACTGGCAGCCTTTAATCTCTAGCTTGTGTTTTTTCCTCATTTTGTTTCTTTCAAAACATCAATTTTTCGCAAGGTGTAGGGAATCGTTCCCTCGTCGTCTCGCAGCCTGAGACAACGCTAGGCGTTACATTGTTTTCACCCTACCCGATACGAGGGCAAGATAAGAAAAGGCGGCATTTTCATTTTTCTCGACCACGCGGACAGAACTTTTATTCACTTTTTTATCAACCAATAACTTTCTCTGTCATGTTCTTGAAAAACTATAGATAGCCTTTGCTCCGTTTATTATCAGAAATATTAAATTTGAACAATTATGACAGTAAATAGACCAGCTGCGTATCTCTCACGATCTATTATCTCCTCTCAACCACTTTGTTGATGCTGTACGCAAAAAATTGCCTGTTTTCAAGATTTTTGTCTTTGCTGACTAGTCAAGCCCCCCATGAGGGCACTAACGATCTTTCTCTGTGCACGGAATCAGCGAATTCGAAAAACCCATCCGAGTAGACTGTCTAGGGAATCTTTATTTAGAGTGTTAGGTTTATTTGGCGTTTTTTTTTCTTTCGTCTTGAGTAATGAGCACCTAGCAACTACAGTTGCAGGCGCAGTTTGGCTCGATGGAGGAAGGGACAGGGGTCATTTTGCTTTTTGCTACTTCTCATTGACGTGTCGAGTCATTAGAGAGCCACTTCGTGAGCTTACAAGAGCTGACATGGTTTCACCATGGTGGCTCCGGCACATCACGAGGTGCCCCCCCCACGTTGCCTAAATGCGCCCCAAAGTGGTTCACTTATACCATTTCACAGCTTTATAGGGATTCACAGGCTCACCAAAAAGGAACTTCTTGATTAACATGAACTAGTGAAACGAACCAGTCAAAGATGCTTCTAACAAGCAATGGAAAGCTTAAAGGCAAAGCCAGCGATCATTCGCCATCACAGATAGTGGATTAGGGGTTTGCATATAGACGACAAGGTTCTGAGTAACTCGATAGTGAAGAAAAAAAGCAGAAAAAAATGCCAACTGCCCTAGATAGAACCCCATTTCGATCCCAGTTTGTACGTGCCCAATTAACTCCATCTCCAACACTACGCCCCCATCCGCACAGCTGATTCCCCGATAAGAACTCTACGACCGTACAAGTGACGATTTTCATGCTTTTTCGTCCTGCAGCTTCGTTTTTCACTGAAAGCGGGCCTTGAAGGCGGAGTCTGGAGGCGGAGTCACTGGAAAAAAGGAGGCGTCACTGAACCTATATTGCGCTATAGCGCCCTCCCCTTACAATTTTTTGCCGCGAAACCGGTACAAGGTTGTTCATCGCGGACCACTCTATTTCAGTGCCATATTTTCAACTTCTATACCTGATCGCGGACCGTACCTTTAACAGCACCCCGTCTCCTGAGTGTTCACCATTACTTACAATATGTTCTGACGGGGTGTCTCTTTGAGCAAACATTTGTTTGGACAAGCCTTGCAATGACGGCTGTGTGCCGCATGGAACTGGCTTCAATGTTCAATGTTCCGCCACGATAAGAGGCTTTTTTATCATATCAGTTTGACAGCCTCAAAAGGTTTCCGGGGGTTTTTTTTTTTATTTTGGCCAACTTCCTCTCTTCCTTCGTGCTTCCTCCTGATGATTCTTACAGTTAGCGCTTTACTAGTAGGTATAATAGATATTTTAATAATATTTCATTAATAATGCCCTTGAGTCTATCGTAGAACACAAAGGATTAAGGTCAGCAAAAGGAGTCGTAGAGAATGAGGGGAGGGGGTCGTAGTTAACGGCGCTTGGAAAGGGGATCATGTTATTGGAAAGATTGGAGAAGCGATAGCAAGCAGTAAGGGGAAATTTAGGAAGGAGGTAGCTATGTAGGATGGGAGACAGGTCAAGGTGTCATGGCAGACGAGGGAATTCGTGGGGGTATATCTACCCTTACTGCCCAATCTTCAAAAACAGGGCAGTTTTTGATGCGATTTTTCTGTTGTGACGCAAGAATGGGATGAAAATTTGTTTGACTTCCTGAACTTGATTCCCATCCCATCGCGCCGAAACGCTCTTGGCGCTCGCGTCACAGCGCGCCCGGCGGCACAAAATTACGCCTAAATCATAAGATTCGCCGAAAACTTGTTCCCTCTGGTAATCTGGCCTCACGTACACGAATATCACATCGGCTTGGCCCGAAATTTAATGGCGTCCGCGCTACAGACCTGGGCGCGAAAGACTGTTTGAATCACCGGCCCTTCGCGGCCCAGCGCCAGGACGTTTCGGACTAAGCAAATGTGATATTCGTATTCGGGGGGTCAAACTACCCCAGAAGACAACATTTGAGCCAAATCTGTCCACGGATAAAAAAGTCGGTCAAAACGGCTCAATTGCTTGGAACGGTTGAGGGCCGTAAAGGGTAAATTAGTGCTAGAAGTTTGGGCTTAAGAACGCATATTTTACAGTAAAAGCCTACTTTAGTGCGGCGAAAAAATGATGAATATTCTAAAAGGTACCAGCGTTTGGAGGGGGCCCCCAAAATGGGGGCCAGAAACCTCCCTCAAAACAATATCCTACTCCAGTGTGTGGCCCCTCACACAACCCACTTACCGCCTCAGTCCACCCACTCTTTCCAAACCCTTTTGATTTCCGAACCAGTTTTCGAGAATCTTTCTGATTTCTCGGTAAATCGGGCGACGAGCTGGAAGAGCTATATAGCACACATCTGAAACGAAAAAATAGTAAGCGGGAAGATTTTTCGCAACGTGGAAGATCTTCTATTGACCCGATATGCAGGCAATAGGCGAACAAGCCCCCTTCCTCTACCTGGGTTTCTGCCTAGAAATGCTACCTTGGCACTGAAGTATTCGGGGGGGGACATTCATGAGCAGACTCATTGACGAATTAACATGAATCAGTGGAAGCTACAAGCGAAGGTACGACGATGCTCACCGCATTGCTGCGACGCGCCCTGGTTTCTATTCTACCCGGCTCATCATTCTCCATTCCACGTCCTCCTCCAGTCTTCTTCAGCTTTCCCTTTCTTAGGATTATCTCCACTGCATCTTTTTTTTTTTGCTCTCAACGAAGAAATCGGGCTAATTTTTTGACCGAAAAATCTTTCATTTCAATCATTTTCTTTTTTTAGATGATAGTCGATCTTTTGTTACTCGCCTGCACACTATCGTATTCGTCAGCGCAAATCCTCAATCTAAGCCCAGGACGGGCGTTGAGGGTTTTGAATACACCACGAAAAGCTGGTGAGTTGCAGAGGTCTTCCTCGCCCTATTCCTTACGCGGCCGCGCCCGCTAGGGATAGCGTTTGGAGGGTGAGAACATGTTCAAATCAAAAGTCATGCGCTCAAAGATATAGTGACCTTATTCAAAAGTAACTGGGTCGGAGGTTTAAACAACTCACTGACACCTTTATCATTGCCCTTCTATACTCACTCCTTGAAAAACCCCATAGGAGGACCGGTGTTATAGGTTCAGGGGCGCAGTTCGGCGACGGGACGGAGTTATTTGCCCACTATCACTGGTTTCACTAGTTCCGGCTTACAAGTCCCACTATTGCCAACTCTGTGCACTTCCGTGAAGCTGTAGCAAATTTGACCCCCTGAATTCGTAAATTGACCCTTTTCGTGAATTGACAAAATTCATCCCAGGTGAATCTGTCAGCTCACGAAAAGGCTCTCTTAGATAGGTCTCCACGTCGGTGGGAAGTAGCAATAGTGCAAAATGCCCCCTCCCCCCTCCCACCCACCAGTCGCCGAAGCCCAGTGTCAGTGACAGCGCAAAGCAGCTCTTAGCGTAGGCCGGCCACTCTTTTACCTAGCCCCTCAGGTCTATTGACTCTTTCTCTTTGTAGCACAGTCCACACTGGGTTTAGATGGAGACAGAGAACTATTGCTGCTCTTCTCACTTGATGCTCCTTCTCCTACGGGAGGGCCCCAGAGGGTCACAACGACTGTGTGCCTTCACCTACGCGATCAGTGTGGGCTGTTAAGCTGAACGGAAAACTGACGCAATTCGGCTTGGTGGGGTATTAAATAGCCTTTACAGGCAGCTGGCATGATGGTTCCCTACTTAGCCTAAATACTAGGGCGTTTGAAAGAACGGAGTGAAACGGTGAAAATCCTGCGAAGAAAAAGCCTCCGTTCTCAGTGACTTGTAAATCGATTTCGGACGAGTTTCCGTAGGCATCTTACCAATCACCGCTACCGAAGATACCGCCTGCCACTATGTTGAACTATGTATGCATGCAGCATCACGGCCGCTTCATACCAATCCCTTCGCTTCATAATTCGCTTAGCAAATGAATGAATACGGACAGGAACGGTCGTCCATTTTGTGATCGGGCGGTCGTGGCGGCGCGTTTTGGGGACGGTAAAAGTTGTGGCTTGGTAGGGCCTTATAAGGGCACCTTATCGGGAAACCGCTATGCAGCGCCTGCCCAGGGTCGCGGAATTCTATCCTGCCAGGAGTATTGATCCTAGTCGTCTGGGGGATTTATCGTGCCAACTGCCTTTAACTGAGCATGTACAGGTTACCCGTGAAGTGTGTGAAATCCTTGATACAATTAGTTTACCGCACAATTTTGCAGCTTCTCAGAGCTTTACATTGAAATGTCCCCCCTTCAAGCCGAACAACACCGGAATATCCATAGGAATTAAGGGAGCAATGGTGTTTAATGTTTGCATACTTCAACATCGAACCTGTCATCCTTACAAAGCTGCTTCTAGAAACCGGGCTCCTGTCCGTCCATGGGAAGGAGTACATAATGGGACCAAGTTCGGTGCCACCTGCCATCCGCACACACGTCATGGCATCCTACCACCGGATCCCAGTGAAGATTGCCTTACACTGAATGTGATTCGACCAAAGAAAGCGGTAAGTACTAGCTCGGAATTTTTAAGTGGGATCCATAATAAAAAAGTGGCGCCCTTCGACAGAAGATGGACAAGAGAATCGCTTAGCCTTGCCGCGTTTTCGCCGCGTGGCGTATCGTGCCGGTGCTCGGATGGGCCTGTGATGCGCGGCAACTTCTCGACGTGCATCAATCTGCTAATTGTAGCAGCGAAATTTGAACGAATATAAGCGGAGACAAGATTCCATGGCGGGCGATATAAAATTCTCTCGTTCTTTCAATACTCGTATTCAGAAGGCCCGTGACATGGATAACTCGTCCGTGGTGCGCGGCGCCGCTCGCCACGCCCAGCAGCGCGGCATCCTACGATTTTCTTATCGTATACGCATTATTAATGTCAACTATTGTCTATTATTGTAAGTGACCGACTATTTCATCGTTTATTGCAAACTACGACAGGCCCCTTCTGGCGGCTACCCGATCCTACTCTGGGTTCATGGCGGTGGCTACGAGATTGGGTCGGCCAGTCTGTATGGATACAAAGGATTTGCGGACATCTACATACCACATGACATCATCGTCATTACTATACAGTATCGTTTGGGGATCTACGGTAATTTTTTCATCCTAGTTATCAACTTTTCATCTAATTACAGTACATTGTGTTCTCCTGGTATTTTACTTCCTTGAGCACTCTATTATTCTTAAAGCTGCAGACCATGCTGGTCGTAGAGCGGCGACAGTCACTTTTATACGCATCTAGTCCCTTCCTTCCGAACGGTAAGGGTTACGAGCGATCCAACCAAGGAGTCACGATGGTTTTCTTTCTCCGCCCACGCGTTCAAAGTGAAATATGCCTTCGGAAATGAAGATGGCACTTTTCTTAGGAGCACTACCTGTGCGATTCAAATGTGAATTGAGTAGCGCCCAAAAGAATAGCACCAAATTGTTTTACTTCCTAGCTCCGTACCTACTATTTTCTGGGGGATCAAAACGAAGGTATGGGTTCAAAACCAGCAGTCTTCATGCGGATAGACGCTATGACGATCCAAGCGGGGCGGGGCCAGTTCTGGAGAAATTTCGAAGACGATGTGTTTTATCTCTTACGGAATTTCTGAAACGTTTCCTAAAAATCGCTCTTGCTCAATCGGTACAGGCACAGGTACAGGAACGGACATGATCAGAGCTGCGGAAAGTCACTCGGCGCTCGCGGTACTTTCTAGCTAGTTGACTTGGTTCACAGCAGTAGTTTCCGGCGCAGTTCGGTTTTGTGGGGGTACCGAATGGTACGCAGCTGAGCTTGTACAACCCACCGTGTGACGATGTATATTCCTGTCACAAAACAGGACCTGTATTCAACATGGACTCAAAAAGGGAACCAGCGAAAAAATACCTCCGTTAGGTCTTGTTATTGAAGCCGCGCGCGTGGCACCGCAACTTTTGGCAGGCTCGCTGCGCTAGGTGGGACTGTCTGGCACTGTCGGCACTTCTTTAGCTGTCTCCTTAGACGCCCAAGCCCTAACGGTCTTCACTGCAGGTAGAGCAACTTACTGCAGAGCCGCGCTTTGTTTAATTCTTTAAAGGCTCGGTCCGCGATCAGGTATAGAAGTTGAAAATATGGCTTTGGGAGGGTAGTGTGGTCCGCGAACAACCTTGTACCGGTTTCGTGGCAAAAAATTGTAAGGGAGGGGTGCTATGGCGGAACATAGACTCAGTGACGCCTCCTTTTTCCCAGTGACTCCGCCCCCAGACTCCGCCTTCAAGGCCTGCCTTTCAGTGAAAAACGAAACTGGCAGGATGAAGAAAAGCATGAAAGAGTCGCTTCTATGCGGTCGTATAAGTTCTTATGCGGGAAATCAGCTGTGCGGATGTAGCGGCGTATATTGGAGATGGAGCGCATTGGGAGCGTACGCAGGACTGGAACCGTGAAAGTTGGGTTCTATCTTAGGGCAGTGCCATGATTTGTTTTCTGCTTTTTTTTGCACACTATCGGTTAAGTACTCATTATTTTTTTTCACCTACCATCATATGGCAAACCCTCTAGATTCCCACATCGTGTGGCGAATGATCGCGGGGTTCCGGCTCCAAGGAGAATAGAGGTCCCGGTCTTCAAAAAGCCCCTATGGACCTCGTCAAGTGTCGGTGAATGATGGCACCTATGCGTTCCCAGTGCGATGGAGAATAGAGAATGTCGCTGAAATTTTCATATCCATAAGCCTCATAACTCTACAGCCGGTGCATGTCGTGGCAGAAATGATAATTAAGATAGGAATGAATGTAAACAAGGAGATAAATGTCGAGTTGGTATACGTTGGTTATAGCATAAAGTGATAAAATGATAATAATAGAAAGTTATTCCTTGGAAAGAGAGATATTCCAGGTTTTTTCTCCTCGGGAGATTCGCGTATTCCTGGAAATCTGGGGTTGTTCGACATGGCAGCGGCTGTCAAGGTAGGTGATGAAAATTCACCGTTCGTGTTAACCTATTGATATTACCGTATTTTGGCGCTGATTGGTGCGACGGGGGGGGCATTTTGTATTATCATTGCTTCCCTAGTTCCGGCTTACAAATCTCACTCTGGTAAAACTTGTGAACTGTTGTGAAGCTGAAGTAAGTGACGCCGTCTAGCCACTATCCTTATAAAAGTGCCAACAGAAACGGCTGCCTAGAATGGGTCGACAACATCTACCTCCGTCGACAAATGCTCCCCTGTATTTGTATCAGTTTCTTAACTACAACACGGCAACTATTTCAAAAGTAATTCCTAATTTAGTTTGTCCATGAGAATGCCGAGAATATCGGCGGTGACGCATCCCGAATCACCGCCTGGGGACTGAGTGCTGGTGGTGCAGCCGTCGGTCAGCTCATACTCAGCCCACTTACAAGAGGTAAGGTAGCGTCGTTAGGGGAGGGGCGTGGATTGAGTGCCGCCAGGACGGTCCACAGCAAATGGTGCGGGGTGGGGTGTTCTGGCTGCGTTCAGATCCGCGCCCATCACATGCCTTCTCGTTTGCAGGGATGGTGGCTGTCGTATTGGCAGAAAGATTTGTTCCTCTCCTAATAAGTACTTACAGATTACATTACGAGGTCCATCGAAATGTCGGGGTCTCCGTGGGCTGCTTGGGCGCTTGGACCAAACGTACCTAAATACTCCTTGGAACTTGCTGAGGTAAAATCCGAATTATTGACGTCATAGTTCGTTGATGTAGACGTTTGGATTTAGAAATCCTATTGAAGGCACTCGATTGTGGTGACGACCTAAAAAACTGTATGAAGCAGAAGACCGTCGAGGAAATCTATGATGCTGTCGAGAAAGTGGTAAGGATTGCCATTGAAAGCACATTCTACGATGCCATAGGGGGCGAGTTAGCCAACTATTGTCAGAGTTTCTCATTGGGCAAGCTCGGCCGCTCTAGTCGGAGGAATGCCTCGAATGAGCGCAGGCATAATAAGCATCGGCCATCCCCTGCCAATGCCGGTGGTTGACTCCCTCCGCCCGTATGGTCACCGTGGAATGGCTTGAATTTCTAATGCGTGACTTGCTAATCGCTTATTTGTTGCCCGGAACTGTTTAATTGTTCAAGATTTCATGGCTCTGCAAGTCCTGGTCTCGACTGCGTCAAATGGGGGACCAGTGATGGATGGAGAGTTCCTGCAGGACCCGGATGAAATGGCCGTCAGTGCACCTCCAAAGGACTCGATTATAGGAGTTTCGGATAAAGAGGCAGCATTTTTCAGTAAGTTCGTGAATATATTTTAACAAGCAAGGTAGCCAGGAGCATCGGGTGAAAACTAGGCCACGCCCATTCTCGGCTCGTCTGCGACTTCAGCAACAACTCAGCTGAACACTATAATTGCTATATTAGGTAAGAATGGAGCGTAGCCCTGTGCATTGTCTTGACTGGATCCTGCCATTTATTAGCTGGTGGGGCCGGAAATGATTGTGAAATTTTTCTGCAATGTTCTCTTATCAGAGCAATAAAAGCATCGCTGCAGCAATTCATTCACTCAATTTCGGAGTCAAATCTGACGAATTTCAAACGTGGAACAGAGACAAGCTGATAGCAACCATAAGGGTAAGTGGGCTTGCTGTTGTCAATTCTCAACTGTCCATTTGCGCACCGTAAGCTTGTTGGGCGACGTTGAAGAGTGAGGGGGGGGGAGTTTGTTCCGAGACTAAGAGGGCAGTTTTTATGAGAGCCACTCGTTGGCGCGACCAAGTCCTCCCCATTGCGCCCAAGTCAGGTCCGCGCGTAGACTGTAGTCGTCTGCGTTTCTTTGAAGATAAACCTGGAGGGGGAAGGGATCGTTCGCCGCGTGGCCCCTCATAAACTGGGTGGCGTCGAAGATTGGCACACAGGCGTGACAGGGAAAAATGGCCTAACCAGGACTAGGCGCTGCAACCATGTTGATATGGCACCGTTTTGCCATTCGTCACGACCAACGAGGAATTCGCGGGTTTCAGGACTCCAAATGGGCACAACTATAGGAACTGCTGCTCACCTCAATCTCCGCGCCACCAAGCTGGACCAGGTGGTCAACAAAGTCAGGCATAGTTATGTCGACAGAAGATAGGAGGAAACATATGATTTTTACCTGGACAGATACACGGAGGTGGGCGGAGCTTTTGATAGGGGGTGTGGCTGTCCGCATCTTTTCACAGAAGTGATTCAGTTCATCAGCGATACCATGTTCAATGTAGCAGCTGTGGATGGTGCTCTTGCACGTCGACAACAAGGCTGGAACCTTTTCGCCTATTCCTTCAATCACTACAACAAAGCTATATGGCCCGATAACATACCGACGAGGTTACGAGGTTCGAAACATGCATACTTTTTAGTTGTCGCGCTAAAATATGGACAGGCGTAGCTAGAAGCTCCTGGGTAGTTGCCTTCAGTTGCTCGAAATTCGTGGATCGCTTGACTCGCACTATATTGAGCCCTTATTTTATGGCCTAAGTGGGATATCAACGAGAATAGTCGCACAGCCGCTGCTCCACCCTCCAAGGAATCGACAGTGCAGGGACGGATCATGGGTGTGGGCCAAAGGATTACGTTGGAAAATTTGTTGGAACAAATGAAGTTGGAACAAAGTCTGCGCGTGTTTCCAACGTAAACCTTTGGCCCACACACCCATGATTGGTCCCTGAAGTGTGGAGACAACTGACATATCCTGGTCAGTTGTCTCATCATGCTGTATCGCCTTCGCGTCAAATCTGTCAGGTTCCTATTAGATTATTATTCCTTAATTTTATAAAGGCGACCCGCCCGCTACAAATGCTGCACACAAAATCACGGTACCTTTCGTCTGCGCACCCGTCCACCGCTCTCCTCGAGCTCATTTTTTCGCTATAGCTCGCACCTGCTGGCAGTCAACTGGAGGAACTGATCATAGATAGCGCCCAAGTCCTCGCTGTGGCTGAGCAACCTCTCTGCCTATCTAGCGCCCAAGAGGTCTAAGAATCAAGGCCATAACCTAAGAACCTGGAAACTCTGGCGCTGTTTGGCTTGGATGCGGGCATTTACTTGCCTGTGTTTTTTGCCAATCTATGCTAATTGACAGGTTTCATCTTAGTGATATTTGTGAGCTTCTGTCTTCTGTGAAGCTGCAAAGCGATACAAACGAACTACTTCGCTCGATGTACAGTTCTTCACAAGGTGTCCTGAACTAACTGGGATAAGTCCATCTGCTGCCCCCACTGAGCAGAACTGCGTCAAGTTTGCTCTTTGTGCAAGCTGTAACTTCGCGCTTCTTATGTGTCCTCCACAGTGGTTTCTGCTACAGTTCGCCTTTAACATGGATACATTTTCTATTCTGTAAACGAACCATGGAGTATAGTATTCTGTTCAGGATCCACCCATATCAATGAATATCCCTATATGTTTGACCTTTTCTTTTCTGGGCGACTATGAAATCGATGAGACCGAACAGGTTGTTGCAGATGTTCTCCAGCAATCGTTTATCAATTTTGTGAAAACAGGGTGAGTTCTCTGGTCGTTCCCGAATTCCTTTTAAAGAAACATCGTCCAAGTCTCGGGAATTTCCAAGAAAAAATTCTCAATTAAGAAAAAAAATCCAATTAAGCCTTCGTAAATAGCAAAATTTCAGCGCTCCATTTAATCAACACGAAATTTGGCAAGATATCGGAAAGTCAGATGATCTTCGACATCTCGCCATCTCATCGAACCCCCGCATGGAAGAAGAATTCTTCAACGGTATGCAATTCAATATCAGTGATCGGGGGTAAAGTAGGCACAGCTAGCGCCTACTCCAGTCATCGCTAATCCTATGTGAGGGAAATGGGGGGAGAGGGAGGGACAGGGACCACCAACTCGGGGAGAAAGCTCTGGAAATCCTTGTCGTTGCCAATACGAGGTGAACGGGCCCACAGCTGTAGTAGCGTGCCGCATTTTGCGCGCAAAAAGTGCACCGGAACGGGGCTGTAGTAATACCAGGGTATCCGTCCTTGGACTCCACCCACGCTGCTGCATGGCCAGCCCCGGGCTTAATTGCTCTCTGCTTCAAAAAAACAGGCCAGGCAAACGCGAGGCCTTACGACTATCTTTGCTACATATGGTGCACGCGCGCTGCCGCCGCAATGTGGATCTCCTGACCCGCACACATGACTTCTGAAATTCTGCCAAAACTTGTTAGCTACAAGTACACAAATAAGGGTGCGTATAAGACTGCGCTGTGCCTCCCATTCGGTTTCACGGACTCATTGGCATAGCAGTCCGTTCACGATACGACAACCTACCGGCTGTTGGCCAGCATCAAACCGAAACTCTTTTTATAGTCATGGTACGTGCAAGCGACAAGGAGTGGGAAGGGGCTTGAGTTGGATCGCAACCAAAACAGTCCTTCCCACCAATCGTTGTCGGCTCAGAATGACAGGACTGAAGGAAGGGCCCTTCTCG